ACTCGTTTCATAACAGGTGATATACCATATTTGCTTGATCTAGTGTTCACCAACGAGGGTAGCCAATACTTAACAGGCTAATAGATATAAAGAACACAGATTTCAATGCACTTTTGCATTGAAACTTGTATTGTGCAGTCAATAATGGCTTGCTAAATCACTGCACTTTTACGTTCACAAAATCTGATATGCTGGTGAAATTTCAGATTGATTTCTAGATCTTAGGTGAATACATTTTTACAAACTAGTTAACACAGCCGGATGGGGTCAGGAAGACGCTTCGTGCACCTAAATTCATTCGTTATAGTCTATTTTGGTTCATTTGTAAGGCTTGGATTAATACATCGAAGTGTGTTGGACACTGCTTTTAGGACTACAGTTGATAGCAAGTTAGTTTGAATACCAATAAAATAAAGAAAAACAAATTCAGGATTGAAGTGCAGTAAAATAACTCGTATGTACTCCAATTTTCAGTATTCTGCAGGAAATCGAATGTATTTATGTCACTGCATGCTCCAATGTGCCATGTCCGATACGCACTAAGACCACTAACGTGGGAAATTCAACGGTCCTCGGCATCACAATTTGGCCAAGTCACCTAAATAAGCAACGACATCAAATGGCACCAGTGTTATTTCCAACATTGGTGCAGCGACGACGTATAACCTATACCGCAGAGACAGAATAAACATATGCGCCCATGTAAACTAGATGAAGATAAATTTTCAGTGATTCTCTTCAGATCGGTATAATTACATAGGAAACATTTTATTGGGATTACATTTGATCGGATTATTTTGATCGAATCCATTCGCGTTCCCACCTGGTTCGTGAACCGATGGCAATCCAGGCTTAGGCGACTACGTTTTCCTTCTAGCGCAACTGGATTCAGCCTCTTCTATTTCGATGGCCAAAATATTAGCAGGCTGTGGATTAGCTTTTTGTGAACATAACGGAGGTTGAAGCAACTTAATACCGATTGCTTCGGCTGTTGCAAGCATGCAGAGGCGTAGGCCAGTCGATTGCAAAGACGGGATCCTGTGGATTATCAGGAAAGCATCGCTCACGTTCTTTTGATGACTAGTGTCCAAAAGTTGGGCCAAACTAGAGCTACTAATAGAGCGCTTGCTACCTTGACGTAACCAACGTAGATGATACTGATGCGTGTTGACAAGTGTCGCGCCGTTTTAGGGACAAAAGTGGTGCCACAGACGCACTGGAAATCATAGATAACCATTAAAGCGGTCATCCTCGGAAGCGCCTCGTTGTTCTGCGCAAGTGTGAGGGGTTCTTGGAGAGCGAGCACTTCAGTGTCGCCGCTGGGAAAGTAGATGTAACTGAAGATAGCAGTCTCCTAGATAAGCGTTCTGCGGCCGCACCTCCATTGGAAGGCAATATTTTGATTAATTCTGTCTTCTCTAATTTACAAACCGACACCGGTCTGGGTATTTCCTGAATGTTCTAATAAATGAAACTGTCGAGTACCCATTGTGGTGCAGTATATTCTGAAAGAATGCTACTTCATCATTCAAGGTGCATTCTGTGCAAATCTTATGTACCCTTGATGTTAGACAGCGAATCGAGTTTCGCTTATATGGAAGGAGAACAAAGCTGTTAAATATGGCATATTGTGCGCTCCACGTATTTTGCCCGCAGACACGACGTTGGATTGAGTCATCTGTTCTTCAGACTAGCAGCACGTCAAGAAACGGTAAACGGTCACTTGTTTCCTTCTTGCACGTTAATCGCACCGCTGAGTAGGCTCAGTTCAAGTGATCAAGGAATTTCCCTAGACGGATTCAGTTATCAGCCACGACAAAATATCAGCCACGTAACGTGGTAGTACTCAAAGTTAATTATCTCCTTTTGTAGCCTGGTGTTCTCTACTTTAGCCACAAATTGTCAATTAACAGTGGACCGGATTAAAATCCCTTGGCAACACCATCCTTCTGCCAGTTGTACTCACCGTTAAATAGGAACTGGACGTTCCAGATATACCGCGAAAGAAGGCGCTTCGGCTCCCGAACCGGGACACATATCTGTAAATGTGAATTTGCTATATGGTCAGATATATCATCCATTGTCTCCAACAGCACGTTTGTGGAAATGGACAGGACGTCGAAGAGAACTTTACTTTTTCATTAATTGTGCAATGTTTATATTTACCGCGATATGAAAGGTATTCCGAAGGCTATAGTGTGTTTCTGATGAGTAATGTTGAGTTTTTTGAAACAATTCAGCTGTATCATCATCGTCACTACCAATTAGCAGGCTTAGGCTAGTCTGGAAAAGCACCAGACTTTGGCTTTTCTACCTTTTTTTCTCTTCAGTGACGCGCCTCCCAGCGGACCCCTTGCCGAGTTCCGCCCCCATGATTTCAGTATTTTAGAAAATAGTGCCATTTCCCCTTGGGTGACGGCCACCGACCTGCCTGATTGACAGTTGAATGTTACATAGCCTGACTCATGTTCTGCAGACATGCCAGTTACGAACTATGCAGAGGGCTGTGGTTAGCCTCACGAGCTAGGAATTTTCCAGACTAGTCTAATCCTGCAGATTGGGGAAAACGATGATACAGTACTGAATTCGATTGTATTTTTCTTGTCTTACCAGCTCAAACATTCCAACAATCCACTCTGCGAGTGAATAGTAGGGGTAATTAACCACGTAATCGCACCGCTATTTTCCTTACGTGATCGTACATGTGTGAAGAGGAATCAACTAAAGCAATTGGCGTTTTCCTGATTATTTAATGGGTATTCAATTTATTCATTACTGGTTTTCAGTGGTTCCTCGTCAGGCTAATACACTACAAATGAATGACATGAACGTAAATATCAGCTAAGGATAACGGTTCAATTCCCAGATGGTCTGAGTGACCAAGATAGGCGATTGGCCACACGGCGATCAACAGTTTGCTTGTGTATGTGTGGCGTTGTCCACACTATGTGTCCGTGTTACGGGGGACCAGGGTAGATTTAGAGCCTGGACAAATTTCTTGTGTGCACGTAGGTCAAGGTCATGAATCCTGATGGCTATCGCCTCGGCCGCTGCCAGTAGACGGCATGTAACAGCTCGTGTGTGGCATCTGGTTACTCAGTAGATGGGCTTGAACGCCTCGTGCGCTCTGAATTGCTGGCTCGAGTCGATCAGGTGTGTAGACACTGCGTTTGCCACTGGTTTGTCACGCCGCTATACAGCCAAGCTGGACAGTGTTCCTTGGCTCTCCCGGACAGTCTCCTGGTGGTTCTTTCGATTTATCTTAATCGACAGGAGCAAGAGAAAGGGTATACACAGAATGAAGTACTTGACCTTGGAATTCCTTCTTTAAGTTGTTGCACCACGGTCGGCACTTAGTGGAAGCTTTGCCGTAGGCTTGTTGTATAGTACTTTTGAGCGATTGCGGCAGGAAGCCTTCTAGACGTTGATTCAACTATCCCGTCCCCCTTGAACGGTAATGATAAGTAGATCGGTTTCTTTACTACTGAATCTACTTTTGCCTTCGCTTCTAGTATTTCCATGTTTCTCCGGACGAATCTCTCAGGATTGTCATTTCTATAGTATTAGCTTCGTACAACCTTAGCTCGTCCGAAAACATGTCCTCGCTACATATCCTTCTTGGTCTGTCGGTTAGGCACCGAACATGTTCCCGTCTGGAGGCTTGAGTTCATGTCATTCATTTATGGTGTATTGGTCTGATGAAGAAACTATGAAAACGAGCTTGTTCGCGAACATTTGTTCTGATGTCTACTCCGGAGATGTTTTATCAGATATATATTACTCGCAAGTAGCAGGAGTTTAGCTGTAATATTCATAATGTATCCATCTTGATAGCTCAATTTATTAAACTTTTCGAAGCCGCCCTCAGTGAAGAAGGAGTTGAGCCGGTTCCTTAAGTTCACCACTTGGCTTGCCGAAGCCAATGTATGTGTACACTTTTGCAATGACTTCATGTAGTGCGGTGGATACCCAACCAGCTTTTAGAGGCAGTTACAGTGTGATCGGATTTACCCTAATCTTAAAACCGTTGGACGGCATGCATCAAGCGAACATAACACGGTGTAATCAAGAACTGCCCTATTCAAACACAATTTAGCTAGCGCCTTTCTGCGATTGAGGAATCTACTGCAGAAAAAAATGAGATGTTTCTGGATTACGTTCAGGCTGTTGCCAAATACCAACTGAGGCGTTTGGCAACAGAAAAATGGTTGAGTCCGCTTAATTCGCAAGTATGGTTCTCCAACAGCCTCAGAGAAATAATGTTTTGCGTATCATCTGGGTCAGACCTTAAAATTAGATACCTTATCCGCAGACTCAAGGATTGGCAGTCCGTCAACAGCCAGAACTTACACTCCGTTGGAGTCCGAAATTTCCAACTCATTTATGAGCATTTTTAAGACAATGTTGAATAAGCAGGGTATACAAGTCAAACACGGCAAACCCAATCTGTCTTGTTGAAGTCACGAGACAATTTCAGTCAGCAGAGTCCCAGGTCATAGGAAACAAAAAAACGCAAAACATAATTGGGACATACTGTTTTAATGTCGTGGAATGCAGTTGCTTTGCGAATAGCAGTAATGCGAGATCCATGGATAAAGCAAAGTATGTATTAATCAATAGGTTATAACGCGAGACCAAAATCGCTTTAAGTCAAGTGAATATGGGTAGTATATTATTTTAGAATATATGTAACTAGATCGGAATCCATGTTAAACTAGCAGCATTATTCTCAGAATTAACCCGCTTTTGGCGGTTCCATACAATGGGAACTTCACACGCAAACTCAGAAGTCAAGTCCAAAGTAATTAGCACGAATCAAGAGGTACATAAATCGATGTAAATTGCCTTGTTCCATTATCCATTGCTTATAACATTTTGTTTAACGTTACTTCGTTGATCGCACTTATATTAATTCATTTGCTGTTTATTCAAATTCGGCAACATAGAATCAGAGTGCGGAAGGTCATATTCTTACACAAATTCTGATAAAGCCAGCAAATGCTAATTTTGCGTGAAAATCAACTGCTTATATGTGGTCCTTCCGCGTAAGTCGTTTGTTTCATACAGAAGGAAAATATGTATGTCCAAGCAAACAGTGTTCAAGCCATCAATTCCCTTGTCTCTTTGCCCCAGAAAAATCTAGTGATTTTACCCTTTTAAAGTGTTCATCCTATTAGTTCACAAACGATATAGTACAGCCTAGTCCGAAAAAAGGACCAGACGCGTTTTGTTCTGTTGGGGCATTCTCTCGATCCCCAACTGGTTATCGGACACATGACAGGTATAGGCAGGTTCCAACTTACCAGCAGCTTAGGACACTGAGCCATCGGGGACGTTGGGTGACCTACATAATTTGCAAGCGAACTTGGATTATCAGTTAGCCATAACTGCAGTCACGTGTTGGACATTAACGACCACAGCAATTCCCCCGGCAACGAAACTGAACTGCGAATTTCATTGCTATTTACAAAGCGAATATCCAGTTACCGTTATAAGCAAGTTTCTTGACGTCCGTGATTTCAGTAAATGTTGGCTCTTAACCTGTTTGTCGCGTCTTATTAATAGAGAAATCAAACCGACACGGCACAACTTAGGTGACACATGTTTTGGCGTTTGTTAATGAGTATTAACCTTTACTTTTATCCCACGTGCAAAAACTAACCCATGTTATGCCATATATCTATAAAGGTTTTATTTCTTGCTGCTGCGCAATCAAACAATTTGTCTCCGAATGAGGTCCTGCACTGTGACACCGAATGCAAAAATTCTGCCGACATTGCGAATGCTGCATGCGAACAAATGCCTGGCACACTTGTTTGCGCTGATTTGTTAGACAGCTATTATGATTGTTTACACGGATGTATAGCTAAGGCGTCGAAATTGAGAAACATTGCCAAGTATGAATAAAATCAGAGGAATGTGACTGAATTCGTATAGAAGCAATTTTACTTCACGATGTTTTATGGATGTTGTAGCAAACTCTTATTTTAAAAGTGAATGTAATTGTGCACCCACGAAAGAAAAAAATAAAATCTACATGCATTGGTATAATTAGTACAATAAATGATATGATCTATTACCTTTTCTTTTAAATCCGGGTACACGGAAGCGCCAGTATGATAACTCAACAGCATCGGTAAATTGGTGTAAAACTAACCTGTTACTGCATAGTTGCGTTAGTTTCAAAACGAAATAAAGGTGACTATCGCCAGTTTGATGTTTGTAAATCAGCATCTGAAAATTAGGTTGTTGCTCATTCGTTGCGTCAAGCTAAATTCAAAAATGCTAGGCGATTTCAAACAGTCGTTAGGCTGGTTGGCCAAATATGTGTTACTACATTATCTAACAGACGACAATAAGGTGCAATATTTAATTGCACACGAGACTGCGGTTTGTGGTTATGCTATATTTCAATGTCTCCACGACAAATCCAGTCGCCACTGCCTACTTATTAAATATAACAAGTTGTTTGTGCTGCAGAAATATATTTTACAATTTGAAAGATTTCAATGGCTTCAGCTCGTTTGATTACTCTACCGTGGTCGTTAAACCCGACCAATTTTGCACCATCAGCCTTTTGATAAGGAAAAAAGTAACTGGTGAAAAGGTATGCATTTAAACTGCTAATTTTTTGTTCAAATTACCGAGGGGAGATTTTGGTACTTGGCCCTATTAGGCCACAGTTCTGCAAAATGATTGCGGTGAATTTTGCGGTTTTCAGTTCAAGAAGCGCACAACACGGATATTTGATGAAACGTTCAAAATGCATCAGTATGCAGACTTATTCTTTAGTAAAAAACGTTGCAAAGAGAAGAAACCATTGTGCTACAGTTTCGGATACGTCCATACACGAATCTAATAGTATTCGCGGCTATTGCAACTGGCGAATACATACGGTAATTATGAATTAAATTTTCCATCGGAATGCTTATCGCTAATTCACCAGCTGTCATGTGCTATCACGACATTGCATTCATTTGCAAAAATAAACGACAATTTTTTTTAAAAATTGATCTTATATGATAAGACAAAGTAAACAGAGCAGCTGGTGTACGGAGAGTTTCTATGTCTCATAATGCTGCGAGCGGCAAACCTACCATCAAAATTATGAGAGACACGATCAATCGGATAAACAGCACAACATGCCAAACCAGATGTCCGGTCCCTGTTTGCAAACCAAAGAGTAGCAAAGCATACCAAAATCAACGATTTCCTAGGAATAATAGCAGATGGATTCGCATGGGAAATGTGTAAGATTGGTTCAGAATTGTGTACTGCCAATTTCAGTGAGACCGCAGTCACACCAAACATTTACAATGCAAAGTTACACTGGTGCAGTGAGGAGAACGTGCGCTGAAACCGAGTGTATCTGCAGACATGAAATCACTATAAGGTCGTTGACAGTAAGACAATGTATGGAGACACTAACAAGCAATTTGAGAGAGTAATCACTTCCGCACGAAATATATGCCCTCATGAAACAAATGCGGTTTAAGGTAGATTCACCATGTAACACGAAATCAACAGAGCAGGATTAATATCGATAAAAATACCAGCGTATAAACGAATGTCATTCATCTCTCTATGAAGAATAATGGACCCGAGTAATAATTCGTAACGCTATTGGCACTCCAGGATTCGTCACCTTAATACTGTTCATTATTACCTGTTTCATTTCCTTCACTAGTACTTAGTTTGCCATGGAAAGTAATTGCAGAAACGAAATACGGATACATACGATGATGACTGACCAGGTGTTGGTATTATCACATATCATGAGTATAAATTAAATTTTTACCTCTGATAGTGCCGACATGCAGCGCATGCTCATGAGATTATTATCGCTTATAGGCTAGAGCTAGCAACTTTCGACAGCTCGCGTGCTGTTTGTGAGTACCTTATGTTAACCACAGATTCATAAGCAAGAACTGCCTTAACAGCAAAGCAATATTTGATTAAAATGTGTAATCAGCATCGTTTCCGTAGAATGATCGTGTTCTGTCAGGTTATGTAGCGAATCGTATTATCGCTTGCTCCTGCACACATATCGAAGGAATATAGACCCCCAGTCCTGTTATCACAGCAAATGATTGCGTTTAAGCTAAGAATAATAATCCGAAATGTCGCCTGGAAATAATTCTTCTGATCTAGGATACGGTCGCTAACCTTTTTAATAACCGTTTTTGAGTAAGTTCAGCAAGGAATAGCTTATTGTATATATCATGAATCAAGTGGTTTAAAGTGGTCATATGTTGAGTTGGCAAGCATACATTCTTAGCGATGACGAAGAGAATTAGATAAAGGGAAATCGACGCAGGTACTGGTGACAATTGTTGAAGGATATGCCGATAAATATTTCGCTCTCCTGTCAGCTCTAACAAAGCATGGGTTGCGAAAATGAACAATGCGAATTGAACAATGCCGCGATGAACCCAATTATTCGACCTGTCAGTACGATGGCTAGAATGTGTACAATGAAACCGACATATAATTGAGACATCTACGGCGCGTCTACCTAGATAAATGCTTGGTTGAATAACGTAAGTGAATAATAAAAACCTAGTGTTGGCGTATGTAAATGTACGGTTTGCAGTAATCGTTAATGTGAAGCTTGAGAAATGTAAAATATGGTCGTTCGCGTATGCACCGCTTTCTTGGGTCCATAAGATATAAAACCTGCAGAAGGGCACGATAACCGTAATCTACAATGGTATAGTTTAAGTAACGAAATCTTGGAGCTAAAAGATGTACGCGTCTTTCGCACATATCAAAAGTAAGAGAAGATACAGCTGATTTTGCGAGTGTTTTAGGGTAGGCAAAACCGAGGGGTAAATTATTTTCTTTATACTGAAGATGGCTATATTGTTTCCTCAATTTGAAACAGTAAACCTTGAGCTGCGTGTCGTGACTAATTTTCAGCAAATGATGGCATACGTGGTGGGGGTAAACAATATTTGGTATGCTATCATGAGACCGTTGCGCCACCTTTGTTAACTTCCGCTGAAATTCCAAACAACTTCACTTTTCGGTAACACGAGGCAACAGAAATAGCAGAATATGTAACGGTACTCAGTCAAGAGCTACACACAGAGGTAACACACATAATAACCAATTTTAACGGTTCGGATTTTGCACTACGAAAAAACGAGGATTAATATATTTCCACCAGCAAATGAAACACGAGTATTGACATGGTGGTGAATCGGCCACAACAACAAGCACTTTGTTGAAGAGCGTCACGCGGGCTGGTTTCGATCTACAGGATTTGATAATCCGGTGTACTTGTGAGACTGACAGTGCTAACGTGCTTTTGACCTAGTTTTCCCCGTTGTTTGAGTCGGGGTATGTGATCCATTGGCCGTGTGCAACCAAAGTGTGTTAACAATTAGGGTGCTTTCCAATTGATAGGTCCCTGGACCTAATAGCTGGGCGATTCGCAAAGGTGCATACAGAGCTGGAATGCTTTTAGTTGTAGCCATTTTTAACCGAAACGAATGCTCCAAGCACAAGTAAGTTGCTGGGTTTCCGCGTGCCAGTGAAACATGAGTGATTTGGCTACAACAGCAGTCAATTTGGATGATTTTGCTCTTTGAGGTGGTATCACTATTCAATGAATGTTGGAAACTGGGATAGTGTATTTGACGTGAAGTTGGGCGTTAGGAGAACGAATAAACGAATAAAGGCCTACAGCACATCGGTCTGCACTCTCACATATTTGAATTCATTGAACACCTGTGACTTACTAGTTACCGTTAATCTAGCGTGCCATTACATGTACGCTTAGGGCCTAATCAAATTAGCGGCCCAAACTGAAAGATCGTCATTTCTCGAGGAAATCTGGTGTACTCGACATCACGGAATCGTGGTCGCACACGAAAGTGACGGAGAAGGATATTTCACTACATGGCATGTCACACATTCGGAATGATAGACGGACAAATGTGGCGTCAAACTGTATTATCGTAGGGACTTAAAATGCGAGATCATGGAAGATTCAGATTTGCTGATTCCTGATTCGCTTTGGTGCTGCTTGTATTTATGAGGCAGAGACACCTTATAGCAGTGGTGTACCGTCCTCCTAAACTCCACATCTGAAACGGATTCCAAATTGTGAATGCCCAAAGGCGAACAATAATAAGAAGATACACTCACATATTGACCATGGGTGATTTCAATGTGCGTTATATAGAAACTCTTGCCATATGCAGAGAACTACTTAAAATCGATCTGCATGAGACTGTAACAAGTGTGTCGCTTTATAATAATGTGATTTCGCCGTGTTCAAAACAGGTAATATGTCATGTGCGATTGACGCTGTCCTAACCAACGAAGAACATGAATGATGCGTTGGTTGTAGACTACCCGTTAGATCGCAATGTTTTTTCGTCTATTAGTTATAACTTTATCTGCTTTGCAGAATACCGAGTTTAGGACCATTTTACGGCACGAACCATCCATGCTACGACAGGTTAGCCCGAATCGTTAGTGGTTAAACGTCGTCTTACCCCACCGATAACCCCCTGAATTCGCCCGGCTCGAGTTCGCAAACAATTAGTTTTGGCTCGTTACGGATGTTTTAAAGACCAAAGTATGCAAACGGTCGGAAACACACTTACGTAAGGAGCAGAACTCAAAAGTTGTTGGCAGTATGCAGCGCAAGTTCGCGCGAGTATATATTCTTCCCAACACAAGAAAGCTTGGATAACTTCGTATCTTAGCGTAAACCCCTGCACTTAACTGCTCGTAGAGTACAATGTCGCGCATTAGCAGAACATTGCACAAACCTACGTCGCCAATCATAAACTGCTGTGCAAGCACGGCAATATTCTACTGAAAGTGAGACAAGGCGTTCCTCACTTATAATGGCTGAGTGCCCCACACCAACGAGCTTCAAAAGTAGCAAGCACACTGCTGATGCAATATGTTTTAACCTTCCAGTGGGCATAATCATTAGCAGATTCTCCAGCTTTTATTTCCCTGCCAACTGACTCGCTCACGTTTCTTTACCACAGAAGC